CCAATCAGATGTACAAGATAGAATTCTATTTGAAGTGTTTTTTATGGGGCTGGGTGATGAAAAAAACCTAGGCCCAATCTACTTTCTATAATCTGATCAAATGAACAAATGGCAGATCTTTTCTTTTTTGAATACCTTCTATTTTTTTTTTAACCATTTCACCCCAAGCAAGGCAATAAAACCACTAAGACACAAGGGATTACTGAGTGTGAAAGAATATGAGAAAAAGAAAATATATAAAGGAGAGAAGAGAGAAAAGAATCAAGACAGATGATGATGATTGACATGGATCTTCAAAAATATAAATGCAAAGTTAGCTGGAAGAGAGTTCCACAAGTGAGAGGTGTGAGAGAAGAAACTTATGGTTACATCTAGCCATTTCAACTGTAAAATGATGAGACCTTGTTGCCAATGTAGTATTATACTTAAATTCATAAAGTCTAGATACCAAAGGAAGGTCATCAAAACACTAAGCATGTAACTGTTTATAGAAGAGGCACAAGGAAGCTATGTTAAGGTCGTAGGAAAGTGACTGAAGCTGAGATGCCAGGTCAGGACCAATAACATTGCAGATTTTTATTTTCATTTTATCAAGAATCTCTAAATATATAGCAGAAGTACATGTTACATCTAGATTTGTCAGAACATTTTCGTATTTCATATGCTAAATCACTCTTCATCACATGTACAAGAAAGAAGTCCACTTCAGTGAATTTTAACTTTTTTTGAAAATTAACTCTCTTAGATGTGAAAAAGTTTTGTGATATATTTTTTTAACTAATATTCTAATTTCAAACAGAAGGTTAGGAAGGAAACCCCCGTCAATACTGAAAAGAGCATTAACAACTACTGGATTTGAGAAACCTATTTTCCTGAAAAATTGTTTTAAAAGAAAGATTTTATAAATTTCAATCAACAGTAGTACTGGCTGCTCAGTCAATGAATGCAAAAATCTTTACTTATAAGTAAATGACTAATGTTATCATTACCATCATATATTCTCGTGTCTTCAGTTGAGTGAAATGTATAACGACCATTCACCTGAAGTGGGTTGAGAATTGGCAGAGTGAAATATTCTGATGAAATAAAGATTACCAAAACAGAATTGCTTGTAGCATGTCTTTCTTTCTGCCTATAGTAAACAAACATGTGTCACTCCTCACATTAAAGAGTTGATCAACATCTCAAAAAGCAGATGCATACACCATACATATAGAGAAATAACAAGTGGTATATTGGTGGGTTTTAATTTATACATGAAAATAAACTTTAAAATATATACCATAACATTTTCTTTCATAATTTTTAATCAGATATCTTTTTAAAAAATCTGTGATTCAATTTGTACATGACACATACAGAGACTTGAATGTGTTTTTGTCACAACTCTTACCAATGAGTTTATATCAATATTAGTAAGAAAAATAAAATCAGTTATTCAATAAGAAAACAAGGAAACTGTTTATAAGAGAAGAGGAATTTTTAGTTGGAGAAAATGAAAAAAATCTTGTCATTTACAATAACTGCTGCAAGCTTCACAAGTCAAAATTCAATCAGTTCTTCTGGTGAATTATTCTAAATAAAATACATAGTTTTTCATTTCAGTATATAAATATCCACATAATAGACTGACAATCTTGGATATTTTTAAATTTCAAGTTGAATAAAAGTCTTCTAAGACATTCAGAATTTTAAAAATATATAATATTAATGAATAGTGATGGAAACAAGTGTATATTTACATAACTTATTTGGGAAAGATACTAGAATAATCCAGAAATTATACCAGGAACAAACCACCTTCATAGGTAGAAAAAGAATTGAACACAAACAGAAAAGGGTGTAAGACAAGCACGTGTCTTCTCACTGGATTCCTAAGAGAATGCCAAGTCCTAACAGGATTTATTCTTGGTGAACACAAGCATATGCAGATGACGTGGCATTGATGTATGAAACAGAAAGGAAAAACTCAGATATTCCTAGGCAAGGTAGTAAAGGAAAACGAGAAGAAAGGAGTAACCATTAATTGTAAAAAAACAGAATCTATGGATGTCAGCAAGAGGAACAGCCCATGTTACAATCTAGTAATTGAAAATGCCAAAATCAACCCAGTCTCAAAAATTTAAATATCTTGGAAATGTTTTAACAGAGAATAGAAAATGCATTGGAATGCATCCAAGTTCAACAAAGTATTAAGAAACAAGAAAATTTCATTAGAAACAAAGAGTGCTCGACTGCTATGTATATGGCAGTGAATGTTGGACAACCTTATAGATGAAGAGGAGATTTGAGATATTGATGATGATGTTTGTATTTTTAACGATGATAACTGCTGGTGTTTTATTGATGATTGTGATTATGTTAATGCTTAATGTGTTAAAACACCAGCAGTTATCATCGTTAAAAATACAAACATCATCATGATGTCTACAGACAGAACTCAACTTAACCAACATGGTAGTTGTGGACCCAGATCAGTGAGTGTAGGTAAGCGTTTACATATATGTTTGTATGTGTGAGCAAATGTGAGCATGTCTGATGGTGCAGATGGGTGAAAAATGTCAAGACCATCCCCACCTGTTCCTTGTTAAGAGAATATTGCTACATATGTAATGCTATAGTCTTGTCATTGAAATAGAATGACAATTGTGTATATATATGTATACTCGAAAGCAGAAATGTGTATCTGTGCCTAACCTCAGATTATTTATATGGGTGTCTTTGTGTGTGGGAGTGTCATCTGAAACAAACATAGAAGAAAATTCTCCCCTCCACCACACACAAATAATCAAACACAAATAAGTATAAATAGATCCACTTTTGAAAAAATAAAGCAGTTTATCTGATGATCACAAAAGCGTGAAACCCAGGGTTACAAACTAATATCCATACCACTGAATATATATATATATATATATATATATATAAAGTATTTGGATGTAGATATTCATTTAGTTAGTGATATTTATTTTGGTAATTTTTGAAGGATTTCATTTATAAGATGGTTACAATTTAGTGTTTTACAACGTTTTTTTGTTATTTACTTTTTTCTAAAGAAAACATAAGTTTATATTTTTAAATCCGCCATCTCACAATGTCAGTTTGATAAAGTTTTTTTTTTCTATTTCATTACAAGTTTATCAAGCATTAATATTGACAAAAAGTCCAATTTTTAGAAACACTTTTATACCATTTGAGAAAGTTTCACTCAAAAACAATCTTCTTCCAAGATAAAAAGAAGAAAATATAATTTTTAAATCAACTCTTATTTCTACCCTGCAACAATGGCTTGTTTTCAAGCGGATGATTTTGCCCAAGAATTCACTCAAGGAATTTTACATTTCACTATTTTCTAATCTTTTTTTTTATTTAGTCATTGAAGTGAGGTTGGAATGGAGGGGGTATTTCAAATATTTGCTCCCTCAGACTTTATGTAGATAAAGAAACACTAAGTTACATTGCCTAAAAAATTGGAATCAGAAAAATATATTCAAAATTGATGACAAAAACTAAACTATATACACACACACACACATTTTCTCTCTTTTATCAGGACAAGTGAATGCAGTGGCTAGGTGTTGAGTTTTATCTAAAAACAGGAATATCCATTTTTTATTCTAAACAATAGAACCAATAAAGTTTTGAAAAATATTTTACAAGGTGACAATATTCTTGATAACATATATATATATATATATATATATATATATATATATATTAAATTTCCTGCATTTATAGGAGATGAGTGCTCATTATCATAGATACAACATATGGATGAAGAAACTGTGTAGACATAGAAATGAACACTGCATGGTTACTACTGGTAGTTTATGCCTTTATGTGATCAGCAGTGTTGATGGCTAAATCCACACTGTTCCTATATATATATATATATATATATATATATATATATATATATATATATATAATTTTCTGAATTGTTTTTTTTTTCCATTTGTAAATCAGACATTTTTATTTTATTGTTTAAACCTTATTTTTTAGTGGAAACCCATATTTGAGTAGATTTACTGTTTATTTATTAAACTGTACATATTTATTTATTTATTTCCATGTAAAATCACAATCCAGGCCTTGTTTGGCCAGTAAATTCTTTGTAGCCAAGCAGTTAAAGCACATAAGATCTATTGAGAGTTTCCACTAGGAAAAAAAGGTTCCAATCCTGCCGGAAAATGCCTATTTTCTAACAAGAGTTCTCAAATATTCAGGCTAGTAAATAAATGAATATACGCTTTTATAAATAAATAAAATTTACTCATATATGAGTATCCATTTAAAAAATAAATTATAATATATATATATATATATATATATATATATATGTGTGTGTGTGTGTGTGTGTATGTATGTATATGCTGCTTGGTTCAAAATTTTTCTCACCAGAATTCTTCTTGCAGGTTTTTAAATCTACCCTTCATTCCCACATGGAATATTGTTACTACATATGGTCTGGTGCTTCTGCTACTTATCTTGAGATTTTTCTTACAAAAATCTAAAGAAGAATCAGACCTAGTATCAGTCACTTTCCCACCATCATAATGTAGTTTCCCTTTGTCTTTTCTATAAATATTTTCATGGCAATTGTTCTGATGAGCTTTCCTTCTTAGTTTCTCTACTAGATGTATTGAAGTGTAGCATTTGATTGGTAACTCGGTCTTATTGCTTTAATGTGGAAATAACAAGATGCAACAGTAAGTTATATTTTAAGAGCTTATTTTCTAACCCTTCTTGCCTGTGGAATTCTCTCCTGGCTACTTTCTTCCCTGTCACCTACAATCTTTAAAATTCTTCCTGAATTTTGTTTTTTTATTGTCCTTCCTTCTCACTAACATTTTTTTCATTTTCTTTCACCCTCAGTACCCTTTGCAATTTAGTGGCACTGTCACTTTACTTGGGATGAAATGATTAAATATATATTTTATTTTATTGTCTAAATGTTATTTTTAGTGAGCTATTATCTATTACATCATTAGCACATCCAAGCTTGCAACACCTGGTATCCCCAAGTGGTCACTCATCTAGGTACTGACCAGATTTGACATTGCTTAACTTCAGTGATTGTACAGGAACTGATGTTTCAATGTGATATGGCCATATGCTTTGTAACATAGGTATTTGGTTGATAATGTGTATGCATTGGTGGAAAATAAACAAGTAAATCTAGCAACAAATTTTATTGCATTGTCTCAAGCAACTAATCATCAGCACATGAGTGTGAGTAAATAAATCTTTTATTATTAAACCAAGAACACAATCATATAAAGAGTAAAGGTATTGTGGTTTTGAAGTCTCTTTGCTATTCATATTCTCAGCACTTAATATCTTGTGTCACACCAGAAAAAAAATAACGCAAAATAGTATTTCAATATATGTGATCTTAATATACTTCATATACTGGGAGCCATTGTCAGAAATAATTATAGTTGTGATTGATAGCAGTAAATATATCTTATAATATATTCCATATATAGGTAATGATTAACTTGTATAACAATACTGGATACCTATGAAGGATCAAATTAACTAGTCTTAGCTTGTGATAGTAATCTGGCAATATATATATATATATATAAAACACAACTGAGAAAATATGTGACAATTATGAGAATTTTATGTTTTTTTTTTCAGGTTAGCAGAACTTGTGTGTGCAGCAGATATCTAGAGCTATAATATTCATAAGGAAAGTTAAAACAAATTATCTGTTTAGCTGGCTAATGGGATTTATATGAAAATGCTCATCAGGGCCAGATTTTTGATAAATTTGCTTCTTGATTTCCTGATAACTACAATCTTCAAAATTTTAACTGCATCTTCAGTCATCTTTTGTCTCCTTAAAGCCTGTTCTTTCATTGTCTTTTCTACACAATAACATTTTCTCAGTTTCCTTCAATCCCACTAATCCCTTGCATCTTTGTGTCTTTTTTTTGCCTTGCTTGGGGTGAAATGATTAAAAATAAATATATCTTTATTGACAGGAATTATCAAAATTTTCTTTCTTCAGCATATAAAAACCCTACCATTACTAATTCCTGCCTTCTTAACTACTGAAATGAATGTCCTGACAGATACAAGATAGCAATCATGAAGAAACCTTGTCAACCAAGCAAAATTACTCTCTACCTCTTCAATGTTATATAAAGAATTATCTAAGATTAAACACTTTATGTGATGCTAAAATCTATTTCAAGGTCATAAAATTTGAACCTACATTCATTTAAAACTTTGATCTGTTAACATAAACTGGTCATTTTTTACTTTGTACTTTTTTCCTTTAAAATGACCACCAATAGTTGAAAGTACTTCAGACATAATCCAATTTCAGCAAATTGCTTTACAAAACTTGTCAGGGATAAATGAAGATCGATGGAAATTTGAAACTATCATCATACAAAATGTCTGTCATTTTGAATATCTCAACCTTTTGCACAGTGGGAACCTTAGTGTACATGTGTAAAGAGTCACTCTCCTGTGAGGTTACTCAGGTAACAATGAATCATTGAGTGAGTTTGTATACTGTGTGAATGTATTCATAATGATGTCTCATGCGAGATGTTTTGTTGGTAAATCTAGTCTGTCAGTATGGATTTTTTGTCATACATCTTTAGGCTTTTTCCAAAGCTAAAAATCATCATTTATGAGGGTGGGGGATTTCAGCCACAGTTGAAATTAAAGATTCAGGAAAACACAATATGACAAGGTTCTAGGTGTTAGATAACTTTTTTTGGTGGTGAGATGCTTGTTTTTTTTGTTTTTTTTCAGTTTGAAGGATGAAGCAGTCAAAGCAACTTGGGAGACATATCTACATACCCAAGATTATTCTCAATTGAAGACAATCTAAACAAACTGGGCTACCTGACATGAAGATTTTTCTAACTGGGCCCTACCTGCAAGGCCATACACTGTTTTTATCAAAATCTGTCATTTGGCTGTGACACATGTACTTGGTTTACCCTTACCTGACTAGGTGTCATGATTGATATATTGAGTTTTGTATATTTGTACACCAGAATAACTTTGTTGGTGTGTTGCTTTCTCACCGAATACTAATAAAAATGACAATTCATTTTAAAAAAATAAGATAGAAATGACATATTGTAGGTCAGAAAAGAGCATGTAGCTTAGCAAAATATAAAATACATTCCAGATTGACATGGAAAGAGACATTCCTGAGTTGTGTTGATTTCCTGAATTAATTTTGAGAAAAATAACTGAGAAAGGATAGAAAATGAATGAAGAAGAAAAGAAATAAAATACCAAATGAGACTATTCGTACCCTATTTCTCTGTTTCATTGGCATGGTTACCAATACAGCATTACAGAAGGAATACTGGCCAGCTATTGATTTGGTTTCCCTGTTGATTGTTACAATTACCCTGCGTGCTCACAAACAGAAATGATTGAAACAAGTTTAAAAAAAAAAAAGGACTAGAGGAGTAAAATGTGCTAGAAATCAATATGGAAACACCTCCCTTTGTCATACTTCCTTTCATCTTTAAAATTAGTTTGCTGAGGTTAAGGCCAGTTAAAGCCAAAGTAAATCATGACCTCTGTGTACATTCCAACAGGCAAAGAAACTTGGTTTAGCTTACTTGATTCTTGCAGGTCATTGCAGAATCACCTGGAAATAAAATGAATAAATTTATATTTTATAATTATATTCATTATACCAATTAAACACAATCATTTCTTTCAAGTTAACTGAAATCTAGGTCATAACCATCCAAATAGAATTGTGAACGTGCATAAAAATTGCTACAAAATTTAATAATTTTTTAGTTAACTTTGAGCTGTGGCTATCTTTATGTCTTCATTTTGTACTAAACAAGGTTGAGTTCAATCCCTAATCTGGATAGCTAGCTTTTTTTCATATATATATATTTATGCCCTCTTTTGAATAGATCATTGTGGTATTTTAAGGAAGACTGTCCCAACTGTTTGTCCCAATGATATTTTTCCCAAGTTTAAGCCTCAACCAACTTTATTGAGATGGACATTTTTGGATTTTTTTTAAAAATGGGTTTGTGACAATCACAAGAGATTCTTTGTTAGAGTTAAGGATTCTATAAAACATCAAAAAGCAATGAATTTCTATGCCAAATCAAAAGATGCATTGGGATAGCAAAAGTTGCCTTCCAAAAGTATTAAGAAACAGGAAAATTTCATTAGAGACAAAGAAAAAAAAGATACTTAACTCTTATGCAATATTGATTCTTTTATATGGCAGTGAATATGAGACAGTCTCTTCACAGATGAAGAAGTGATCGGAGGCAACAGAAGGATGCTGAGAATACCATGAACTGAACATATGAGCAATGACAAAGTTTTAGAGAAAATACAAACAAAAAGACCTTTATACTTAACATTAGAAAGATAGGGTTTAAATTTGAAGGGCATATAATGAGGAAAGAAGGCTTAAAAAATTTAATACTCACAGGATAGATTGAAGGCGAGACACGGGAAAATGTGCTGAAGTAAATGGATGGTAGAACAGAATTTAGGAGAGATAACAAAAAGAAAAAATTTCAAGAGTTACAAAGGGCAATAAATTGAGGAGAGCCATGATCTCCAATGTACTGAAGGGACACTGCATAGAGAGGAAGGAGATGATGTGACACCAGACATAGTGTTGCTTCTAATCTTAATTGAAACTGCTCACATGTATATGTTTTATAATGGTGAAATAAGATGCACTACAGTAAATATTCCATTCTATACCACAGATTAGCTTGTCATTTGCATGACTTTAACCAGTTGTGCATGTCTTCTCAGGGCTGACACAGTATGCATCCATGTTCATAAGTGGGAATAGTAAGAGATCATCATGGCTGAGTGTCAAGAGGGTTGATTTTAAGTCAGAAAGTTAAGGCAGCCAAGGCAACATTTCTAATTAGAGGCTGTCTGAGCAGATTGGGTTACCTGACCTGAAAGTTTTTCTAACTGGGTCCCATCTGTAATGTTATTTGCCATTTTCTTAAAACCTGTAACTGCATCGCACACATCTACCTTTGATATATGTGTCTCATATATCCTTTCCAGACTGAGTGTCATGATGTATATATTGGGATTTGTTCATTTCTATCCAGGCTTTAATTTATTGGCATGCTGCTCACTTATTAAATAATGATAATAGTAATAATAATGAATTCTGTGAAACCCATCACTATGATTACTAAAGCTTACTCAAATATACAGAAAAAAACTCAATGTTTTTAATAACTTTCTATGGAAAACCTTCCTTTACCTCAAGATAGAAATTTGGTAAAAAAGAGCTTACAGCCACTTCATATTGAAACACGGGTTCCTGTTAGATTACTAAAGTTAAGTCAACATTGAGCCTGGTTAGTACCTAGGTGGGTGAGCACTTGAAAATACCTGGTGCTGTAAGCTTCGATATTCATGTGGTTTAATGGATAATGGCTTGGAATTGTTAATCCAAAAGCAGAGTTGCAATTCCAGTTGGGTTTGTTATTATGCAAATAGTTTTGGGAAAGTCATGAATCCGTTTCTTCTACCCCAGCTATGAGTTGATTTATTGATACAAATCTTACTAATTATTATTATCTTAAAGAAAAAAAAAGAAAATATTCTTACAATCAAAAAATATTTTCTGCCTTTAAATAACCTGCAAAAGGTTGATAAGCCATAGAAAATGAATGAATAAATAAAAAACTTAGTAAAGATTTCATCAAACAGCAAATCAGGAAACTGGAAATAGAAATAATAAAAATGACAGTACTACATGGGTTTTAAACTTTTCTATCCAAAAAGATCAAATTCAGTATTAGCATTAATCACTTCTGACCCCCCCCCCAAAAAAAAACAAGCACTATTTTGTATGTGTGGAAACCAACATGAAATTAAAACCTGTGTCATTTTTAACAAGTGGGTATTCTGTTAAATATCTTAATAAAATTGAGTAGATTTTTGTTTTAAGATTGTATGTGACAGGACATTCTCCTGCTGAACAGGTTGATCAGAGCATACAATCAACTTTATAAATACCTGTGTATCTGGACTCATAGCCAAGCTACTTTGGTTGGCTTGTCATTGGAGTATAAGATGCAACATTTTGAGTGGTGCCTTTTGGACAAAAGTTTGTCTTATTTGGTGGGAAATATGATAATTGGAGATTTTCTTTCATATTTTCTTCAAAAATTTTCCTTGCATCAAAAAAGGAATAAAAAAAAAAAAGTGCCAATTTAATTTTAGCTAATTCATCATATATATATATATGTTTTCATCCTTTAATGTTGACTTAAAAAATGGATGTAAATAAATAACTGATTTCTGTCCAACTTTAGTCCTAAACCAAAAATTGTTTATCATTTAATATCAAAAGCACAAAATAAAAAATCCAAGCAAGGAAATGGTTATATTTCAATTATATTCAATAGAAAAAAATGGGCTTTACAAGATCTTCAATAGCTTTTCATTCCTTAAATGTTTTTAAATTGAATTTTTGAAAAAATGCATATATTTAAGAATAAATAATTCTCATATCTTGTCTAATTCCAAGCATGCACTCAAATTTAATTTCAGAGATTGAGGAAGATACAGGAAAAGCAAAATTGTCTTATTTACAAGTTTCTCAAACAATTTCTTCATTTTATGTAAACACTCTGTATGAAAGCAAAAAAGTAAAACATTACCACTGCTATGATATTTATTATTTTCTGTCTTTTACCCAATCAAAATTCTTTTCTTTTTTTCTGGCTTACTTTTACTTCCTGTTATTTCAGATTGGCCACACCACAAGTTATTAGAAAAAACTCTCTACCTGCAAGTGATAGATTATGACCGGTTCAGTCGAGATGATCCAATTGGAGAAATTACCCTTCCATTAAATGAAGTGGATCTTACACAAAAAAAAAGCACCTGGAGATTCCTTGAGCCATGTAAGGAGAGTCGGGTAAGTTGGTATCTTTATTCTTCAAAGTTCTGAGAAAGTTAACTTCTCTCTCAGTATAAGCTAAGCTGACAAACACTTGAGAGTTTTTCACCCAATAAAGTTTGATTTTTACAGCTGGATATTTATTATCCTCAACATTGATTCCATTGTGAGTCAAGAATACTTTGGTGCAAGTTAGACAAAGTAAACAAGGTTTGTTTTTTTTGAAGATTGCTATCAAATAAACTTACACAACTTACAATTAATAGACATGAACAATCTGGTTAGTTAAGAAGTTTCATTCTAGAAACTTATTTGTGAAGCAAGAACAGAGAGAGAAACAAGACCTCATGTGAGGTCTAAGGTCACAGCTTCACTATACTAGTATTGCAACTGTGGTTTCCATAGCAAGTAAACATTTTAAAGGGTGGAGTTGACAGCTCCACACTCAGCCAGTTTTGAATTCAGAGTAATCTTTCTCTTGTCAACCAAAGCAAGAATGCTCAATCTACCTTGCTATTTAACCCTTAACTGGGGATAGAAGAAATGGATTCATACATTCCCCAAATGTATTTGTGCAAAAGTGAATGCATTACACTCAGTACATTTTATGTACTGATGGCCATTATGCAATGTGCATGCTGTTAGACAAGAAACTAACAGTAAAATTGACAAACTATATTATCTTCAATCTATCCTTCCACATGAAATGTCAGGAGGAGAAGAAGAAATCTAGTTTTAGAAAGTAAGATTTATAAATAGATCTTCCTGACAAAATGAAAACCAGTAAAAACTGGCTTAAAAAAAGAAGAGAAAAAAATGGCAAATGGGCCAGAATCCTGCTGGGGAAATCTAAACTGGCAGCTTTAAATTTACAATGCCAAAATGGTAGAACACATCACTACAACAGCAACTCCCAAATAATATCTTCTTTCCAAATAGCATACAATTTTCTGACTCTAACAAAATAAAAGATTTTGCTAAATACACATCTTGAAAGAAATTGACAAAATTATAAAAGAAATCATGTCACCATTACTTTAAAACACAAAGTATAACTTTACAAGGAAAACAAGGTTTCTATGTTTGCTTTCTCTGTCAGGTGTTCATAAAAGATTTGTATTATTATAAAGATTGTCATGATGATGATTTTCTTGATGTGGTTTCATTTTTTATCATAGAATTCTTTGCATATGGCATGCTAGTATTAACATCAAATAATAACATTCTTTTTTAAATGCAGTTAAGATCATGGCTCTCTTGTTCCAAAATTGTTAACATTAATAATAGGTTTCCTTAGAAAGTTGAGAGGCAAGTCATGAAATGTTTTTTGATTGTATTTTTGGCCTTTACCTCATTTGAACATTTTTGAAGAAGCTAAGGCAAAAATAAGTCAGAGAGTGTCAATATGCAGAGGATTTTGGTTGTCTCATCATATAAAAAAAATCATCTTCATAAAATAAATAAAAAAAGTATTTACATTAAGACAATTAGACTTTTTCTTGAAGAAGGTTTTAAATTTGAATTATTTCCTCTTCCCATCTCAAACACAGGATCAAATTTAGTAATTTGAAGATATGTTAGATTTTTATTTATTGATTTACATACACTAGTAGCACTGGTAATAGTAATTGGTATTAGTCATTTTTTAGTTGAAGCATTGTCACTCACTACACATTTTTTTTAGCCATATTTTTTTCATCTTAATTTCAGTTGCTTTTTATCACAACTCTCAAACCAAAAAGAAAGGATGCAAGTCTGATCAAAAATTGATTCTTTATTTCTCGTCCATATTACTTATTAATGTGAGAACAAAAAGCAACTGAAATTAAGATGATAAAACAGTATGAGTTGAAAGATTAAAATTGAGAAGGTTTCTATTGAAATAACAAATGGAATTATCTGAAATATTTACAAATATAAACATACAAAATTACTTTTTTTCTCACAGCTGTGCTAAATCAACCACATTTTCCAGAGATGAAATTACACGAGAAAGAACAATAACAGAACTGTCCCCTAATGGAAGTGCTTTAAACTGATATATATCAGCCAAATGTGGTCAATGTCAAATAGAAAAAGTAAAAAGGGTTGTTTATTACTATGTTCATTTGAACTGTGTACTAATTCATTATTTCTTTACTTTAGGAATGGAATTCTGTTAAGACTCGGCATTGCTATTCAATAAAATCACTACTGATGCCATAGTTTTGTGTTTTATTTTTTTTGTTCCTATAAAAATGTACATCCTAATTTATTCTGGTCAGTCTTTGTATAGCTGTATACTTAGGAAGTAACAACACTCTGACACACCTATGTTCATATTTCTATAAAATAAGTACAATTTATGATAATTTTTCATTAGAATAGCATCATTGGGAAGATGTCTAATGGTGTTCTAAAATATAGGGTCAAGTGAAAATAAGGTACAATCCATTTATTAATCTTGCTTATTATCACTTATTCATCTTTTAAAAATCTATTTAAAATTCACTATTCTTGGAGACCTCCTTATAGAGCAATGCTTAGTAAGTTCCTTTCATAGACTATCACAACAAGCAAGTTTCATTCTGACTGGATATGGCATCCTTGTGGCTTTGGGTCAGATTAAGATAAGTAAATACAGAAGGCTTGTTTTGTAACTGAGATAATAATACATTTTGGTGCCAGTGGTTAGTGTTCAAACCCATATAAAAAAAGTTAAGATTTTGAATGCTCATTTTCAATGCAAGCAGATAAGCACTTGAATGTTTAGCACAACATAAGCTTCATATGTCCAAAATTCTCTGGCTTTAAGTTTGGATTCACATGTATTACTGAGTAGTAATTTACTGTATGATGGTTCAACCCTAAATCACCAAGGTGAGAATTAGTTTTACTAAAGGAAAATCTTAACTCAAAAGTAAGTAAAAAAAAAAAAGATTCTAATTATTTTTATGGTATTAGAAGTGTAAACTCCACATGTAGTATAAATATCCTATATTTTTTCCAGTAATTAGACTATTATCTTTATCTTTGTTGCTTTGATCATGTTTTTTTTTTTCCTTCATGTCAGTATTAAAGAAAACTTATTTTTTGGTGTAACCTATATCTTACCATTAATTCAGATGAATTTGCACTGAAGAGAACACTTTCCCAGTGTAAATTAATCTCAGTTAATTGTTACAATTCTGTTTCTAAATCATGTTTGAAAATTTGTTTTTGCTTGTTTCCAGAACAACCAACAGCTGTTGTGCAATTTAAAGCCTCTATCATTAACTTTGAATTTTTACATAAACTATTGACAAATATCCTGTCTTTAACAGCATTTTTAAGATATCTTCTGATCTCTAATTTCCTTTTCTCTTGGTCAGCTCTTATAATATTCCTTTTCTCTGCTATATCAACTTCTCATTGCATTCTTTGACCTTTGTCCAATTCTTACTGACTTTATTCTATCCAATTATTGCACAGTAGTTTCAACCCTCAAACACAGGAAGTTCTGGTAACTCAAGACA